AGAATCTGAAAAGACCAGGTAATGTAGGCATTGTCCAATAGTGATTAATTTTATAAAACACAATATATAGGAATAACTGTATGAAACGTGTAAATGAAGGAAAGTATGGGACAAATATTTTTCATAAAAAAGAAAGAAATGCAAAATGAATTTATAAATTTTTTAAAAAAGATAGTTTACAGTAATCATATATTATAACAAAAACTATGCATTCTAAATAGGATTATAACCTCAGTCTTGTTATTGCCAGACCCATGTCATCAAAGTGTTTGCTTGTAGATAGATGATCAAGAACTAGAGCCTTCAATATAGATTGCATCTCAGCATCAAGAAAACAAAAATCCTCACCACTGGGCTAATGGGCACCAGCATGATACATGTAGAAAGGATTAAAGTTGTCGGTGATTTCAACTTACAACTCATTGCATCCATAACCAACACCCTTGGCACCAGCTGTCAGAAAACGAAAAGACAAGCTGCATTGGGAAAATCTGCTCTCAAGGACTTCTCCAAAATACTAATGAGTAACAATGTCATTCTAAAGAATAAGGTGTGTCTGATCCAAGCCATAGCCTTTTCAATTACTTGCTATGCATGAGAAAGCTAGACAATGACTAATGATGGGAGAAGAATCAATGCCTTTGATTTGTGATGCTGAAGAAGAATATTGACTATCAGGACTACCAAGAGAACAAACAGGTTTGTTCTGGAGAAAGTGACACCAGGCTGCTCCTTGGAGGCAAGGAGAGTGAAAATCCATCTCATTTACTTTGAGCATGTCACTAGGAAGGGCCAATCCTTGGAGAAAGACATCATGCTTTTAAAGGTGGAGAGTCTGTGCAAGAGAGGAAGACCCTCAAGAGATGGCTTGACATAGTGACTGTAACAATGGATCAGCTATGTCAGGGATGGTGAACCTGGCTCAGGATGAGGCAAGGCTCAGAGCCGTTATCCATAGGGTTACTATGAGTCATAGTGCACTTGATGGCGCATAACAACATGTCATTACACAAAATAGATGTTTTATTATTGTTATAAATGTAAAAATGGCTGGTAATAAGATAGCCAGTATGTGAGTCAGAAGAAGGATGGGCAATCTCCTGTGCAATTAACAGCCTCTGGAAACTCATTGGAGGGCTAGCTATGGGTCAGTTCTGACTCGATGGTACACAACAAAAACAACAATGTGAGGAGCAAGTTGTCAGTATTATTTTATAAAGGAGAAAACAGGGACCAAGAGTTTTAAAAATATAAAAAAAACCCCTCAATATAGTTTTGTAGACTAAAGATTTATACTTTCAAAAGAACTAAGATTTTTTTGTGAGAAGGGTTATCACCCATTCTCTTAAGATCAGCATCAAGATATTCACTTCCGTTTTCTAAGGAGGACTGCTTAACAATAGGAACCACCTAGCTTTGAAATAAAAATCCTGAATTAAAATTTTTACTTTTGCTCTTTCCAAAAAACTAAGGAAATGTATCTTGCAGAAGGTGCAACTAGGGTGCTCCTAAGAGGCAGGAATGATGAAATGTAATTTAACATATTTTTTCACATCTTGTTAGGAGAGGCCGGTCCTTGGAAAGGGACATGTTTGGAAGGGTAGAGGGTTAGTGAGAGAGAGGAAGAGCTTCAACAAGATGACTGTACACAGTGACTGTTAACAATGAGCTTGAGTGTCTCAGGTGAGATGAGGAGGGCACAGGGTCAAGGTTCAGAACTGTTGCTTACAGGGTCACTATGAGTCATAGTTACATCTAACAACTATTTCCTAGTTACATGGATGTTGACTAATTCCTCACCTTTAAAATAGGAATATCTTTTTTGTGTTTTGAGAATTAGAGATCATGTATGTAAAATGCCTAGGAAAATACCTAATAGACATTCATCAAATAGCTGCTGTTACTATATGCCATTCAATAAAAAACAGTAACTTTTTTTGGGGGGAAAAAGGCAGCTACTTTTATTACTAGAAATCATGCTTCCTTATTATTGTTTTTCTAATTTGTTTTCCATCTGTTGAAAATCTTCAATTTTTTCTTTTTCTGTTGTTGGCATAATATAGATGTACTGTTTTAGTAGTACAAGGGTGCCTACACAAATCACTATATGATCCAATTAAAACAAATTCTAAAATGTGAATGATATAATCTACTTTACAAAAGATTTATCACAAAAGGCCTTTAAATATGGTATAGCCCTTTAAATAGTGAGCTATAGTTTACTTCTCTATTCACAGTTACATTTAATAAACTTACCAACAGGCCAAAGGATGTCCTCTGAGGTCTCTTCTGACCCAGCGATTTTTAAAAAAAATTGTGTGTGTGTGTGTGTGTGTGTGTGTGTACCGTCAAATTGGATCTGACTGGTACAGGAGACTGTCCCTCCTTCTCCAACAGAGCATCTGGTGGATTCGAACTGCACACCTCTGGGATTGAAGTGCAGCTCCAGTGATTCTTAAGAATCAATCAGAAGCATCTGTTAAGCAAAAGATAACACAGGTACTGCTGAAGAAATATTAAGTCTAAATATTTTTAAAATGTAATTTTTTAAAAAATTTGCTGAAATGAGGTTTATATGACTGTCTTAGTCTGACTTCTCCAGGAGCAAAAACAGTGGCAGGGGAAATAATTATATGTACATGACACACTGTTGTGCAGGCTGCCTAGTTCCAAATCTAGGCATCAAGCTGGAGCTTTCTCCCAACTCATGAAGTTGCAGGGGTTGACATACCCAAAATCTATGGGTCATGTGGCAAGCCTCTGGCTCACATCTCAAGAACAAGAGGTCACAGGATGAGTCAGATGCACAATTGAGAGAGAAAGATTCGCAGAATGCCCATATACATTGACTGCAGGTCACATTCAAAAAACTTTCAACTGTTTAACTGCTCAGACCAGATCACAAAAAGGATGATTACATAATCCTGCAAATCACTGAAAATCATGGCCTAGCCAAGCTGACATATATTATTCAACTAAAAAAAACTCAAGCTTATTGCTGTGGAGTCAGAATGGACTCATAGATGACCCCCTGGTTGGGTTTCTGAGGCTGTAAACTGCATGGGAGAAGGCTGCCCATCTTTATCCCATGGAGCTGCTTGCTGGTGGATTCTAACCACCAGTGTGATCGTTGAGATTATATGTGCACATTTTCCTAATGCAGTACTCTGTAAACTTACAGATTAAATAAATAAGTAAAATAAAATTAAAAACATAAATATATACACACACACATGCATACATACAGGTTTGGAAGTAGGAGTGGCATCCACTTCCTAAATAACATGCCTCTGAAAACTCTACGAACTTTGAAAAATGTTGATAGTTATATAGTTGTAGAGGGGCTTCAGGCCTTTTGTTCATAGGGTTGCTATGAGTCATACTTGACTGGAAGGCAATCAACAACAATATATATGTATACACACACACACACCTACCTACACACATATTTTTACATATATAAAATATGCTCATTTACATATATCTATTTTATAGACAATATATATATCTGAACTTTTATGTGGATTATAAACACAACAGTGTAAAATCTGATATTATTCTACAGAAATCCAATTTAGTGTAGTTTTTAGAACTAAAAATATCAAGAAAATATATTCATTTAAACAGGAATGTAAAGTGCTTTATATAGAATAATGAAACTCACAGGAAAACAAGACAAAAAGAAATAACTTTTGTTCTTCCAAGTCGCTTTCTTAGAATAAAATTATTAATGTATATCTTACAGAGCTAACAAGTCATATTTCCCAAACTGAATGTGTTTTTAATGTCAGTCAAGAACCATACTAAGTAATGTGATTTTGGGAACTCTGGTGACCTAGCGGCAAGAAGCTGCGCTGCAATCCCAAAGGCATGAGGTTTGAATCCACCAGATGCTCCACTGGAGGAGGGGCAATCTCCTCCTGTGCCAGTCGGATCTGATTTGACGGTACACAAGAAAAAAACAACAGTAACAAAAGTGATTTTAAAAATTTAGAAAAGGAAGAAAAGGATGGAAGGTAAGATGAAGACTTATTCATATTCACTCACAGTCTCCCTTTTCTTTTTTTTTTAATGTTTTTATTATTGTGTGTGTGTGTACCGTCGGATCAGATCTGACTGGTACAGGAGGAGATTGTCCCTCCTTTCCCAGCAGAGCATCTGGTGGATTCGAACTATGCACCTCTGGGATTGCAGTGCAAGTCTCCCTTTTCTTAATCAAACTTAAGTACCTAAGTATAAAACACACTTAACAAGTCTAAAACTTAGGTGCTAATTACAAATTTTCCCTTGCATACTCTAAAATACCAAAAAACAAAGTATAAACAACTGCACTAGAGATTTGGCAAGTTACTTGGCACAGTTAGCTAATTGGTCATATATCAGTGTCACTATCTTGATGCTCCTGAAAGGTACTACAGATTTATAAGATTGTATCACTTAGCAAACTGCATTATAGCATAGGAATTTTTTAAAATAAAGTGTGTTTTGAATGAAAATGTTTTAATGGAAGTAACACTGACTTAAAAATTGCAACTCCTAAATAAAAAAATTGCAACTCCTTACTGCAATCCCAGAGGTGCATGGTTCAAATCCACCAGATGCTCTGCCAGGGAAGGAGGGACAATTTCCTCCTGTACCAGTCAGATCTGATTTGACGGTACACACACACAAAAATAATAAAAAAAAAAATCACAACTCCTATCAATCTAAGAATGAAATAGTACAAAGCCAGAATTACTCAATAGTAGAACTGAGTCAAGTAATTGTGTCTTTTTTTGCAATTACATCAAATCTATCCCCATCTTGTTACCAGTTAATTTATCTAATTATAATTTTTGGGGGAGTGGAAATCAGAAACATCATCTTAAGGAAAATCGCAACTAAAATACCAACTTTTGCAAAAATAAAGTTTTCACTTAACATAGTTATGTAATATTCAGCTGTAACAAAAACAAGGTTTATAAAAATTATTACAAACTAGAAATAAGAGAAAATAGACGTATCAACCATATATTTTGTCTTTTTCTAAACCAACCAACCTTTATTGGAAAGCCATAGCCCCATTCCCAATAAATATTAACAATATGAAATAGTGGAACAATTATTGTCCAAATACTGAACAAATCACAGCACATACATTCAAACAAACAAACAAACAAAAAAACTGTGCACAGCCACAATAATTGTGCACAGCCTGCTCAAGTTGAGTACTGAACCAGCTGAGAAACACTCATTGAGTTACTGCTTTGAGAACTCCACGAAGCACCTTATAACTCATTAACTGCACATTTTCCTTAGGAGGGAAGCAAGGTCCTCTTTCAGTCACATATGCATAGGGAAACCTTAAAACCCAAAGGCCATCAGGTGGGAGAGTGATTTCTTGTTTTTCTGGGTAAAAAACTGGACATGGTGGTGGGCCTGGCTGAACCTGAAAGAAAGCACAGGTAATACCATTATTTTTACACTTCTGAAGAAATACTTGCAAAATGAATGCCAAAACAATAAGATCAAAAACAAACTCTAAGATTAAGGAGGTATGAGTGCAGTCCTAACTTTAGTCAGATCGACTGGCTCATGATGGGGCAGGGTTCAGAGCTGTTGTACGTAGGGTTGTGCTGAGTCGCAGGCGACATACTACATAGTCTCATGTTATCCCATTTTCAACTTCAATTTCTGTTTCTGATTCAAATAAAGTCAAATAATGGTTTGGAATGATTTATATAGCTATAATTTCTTTTTCAAAAAAACAAAATACTAGGAATAACCAAAAATCCATTGCTGTCCAATTTTAACGCATAGCACCCTTACAAGACAAACTAGAACTGCTCTGTAGGGTTTCCATGGCTATAAATAAGTCAAAAGGATTGTCACATCTTTCTCCTATAGTGTGGCTGTTGGCTTTGTACTGTTGTCCTTTTGGTCATCAGCCCAACACTTAGCCCACTATTCCATGAGAGCTCCTGGAAAGTAGGTATGATTAAGACCTCTTAAAGATCTAGCTTCTGGTTTTTGTTGTTTGTTCACTTTTGGGTGTGTTTATGTTTGTGATATTTCTTACCTGTGGAATCAGTATTATCTGCAAAGGTGCATCAGGAACCACAACGAAGAGCCTCATAAGCTGGGCATAATGTGGTTTTAGCCCTCGACCCTGAGATGATGACAGAATATATAATGGCATATCGCTATTGAGGGCTTTTAAAGCTGATTCCTTTGGTCCACTTCCCATTACTTTCATTACTTTGTCAGGTCCCGAACACATGAATCTCCGGCCTCGAGAGTCTTCATATTCAAAGCCCACAAAAGCTCTAGCTATGTCATCCCGCCGTCTTCCTCTTCCCATCACAACTGCACTTCTCTTTCCAGGAATAGCCTTATTTGGAGCAGGCCAGGAATTAGTGTCTAAATCTCCTTCATCTTCAGCTCTGGTCTTGATGACTATGTCCCAAGGCATAAGATAGTTTGTTCCTGGAATGAAACCCTGTTGGTCCAAACCTGTATGAAAGTTATATGACTTAGCAGGGCCTAGTTTAACTAAAGACCAGCTGGAGAATTTGGGTAGGAGACCTTTAGGACAATTTGAATGTAGCATGCCTGGGAGATACTCAACTGTTGATGCCTGTCTATCCACCAAGTTTGGTCTCTTCTCAGTTTTCACCTCTCCTTGACCATGAACTTCTGGATTATCTCCTCCTGCTTGAGGATCTGCTGTATAAGTACCTAGGCTATCTGTGGACTGGCCTAAACTCAAAGCTAAACTCAGGCTTGTGCTCTCTCCTTGTGTTTGAGGTTCTTTTTCTTTCAGTTTATCAGCATCTGTATCTGGAGGGGCAGGAGAAGATTCATTTTTGGCAGGAGCAGGATCTGGAGTACTGGGTTCAAACACTGGGAAATTGATATGATCCAATTTTCCACAACATTTTTCTTCCAGAAGCTATGGAGAAAATACAAACTGTAAGCTTTTCATTAAAAAGAACCCATTCCTCACTTTAAAACACAAGATCAACAATCAATGTAATTAGCCAAAAAATATATGTTAAGAATTATCCCTCATTCATCTATCACAGAGGGGCACATTTGCTTTTCTAGGTGTTTTGCTCCCGAAAAGAATTTATTTTCACTCAGATAGTACTTAGCCAAAAGAAAGAGAGAAAAACTAGACATCTACCTGATAAAAGTCATAGTTAGCTGCTTTGATATCAAACGGGTCATCTCGAGGTGCTTGCTTCCTTCCACAATTACAGGCACCAGTGGATCGAGCGCGGCTATTATGATACAGAACAGGAGGATTTCTATCAGCCTCTGGTTTTTCTCCTACAGAAGATAATACTCACCATTAATTTCACAAATGCAAAACAAAGTATGAAATTTTACTTTGCATCCTACAGTATCTAACCCCTAAAATTCTCCACATAGCTCTTTGGAGATGTGAAGGAAAAACAAAAACAAACACTCAAAAGCCTGACCTACACACACACACACACACACAGTAAATAATTTACATCAAATAATTTATCTTTTTGGTCTAAAGTTATAAGGGTTCTAAGTGAATTTCTCATCCTGCCACCATCAGCATACTATTTTAAAGCCAAATAAAAGCCATTGTCATAGTCAAGTGTCAATTCAGTGACCCTCTAGCAGGCTTTAGAGGCTATAAATCTTAATGGGAAGGCTGTTTATTTTCCTCCCTCAGAGTGGCTGGTGGGTTCAAATGATCAATCTTTCGGTTAGCAACCCAACAAGTTATACTATCAGAGCTCATTATATTAATTCTAACCCAAGAAATTATCTCTAGTAAAAAAAGTTAACATGAAATTTCTGGAACTTTGTACTATTTAATAGCCTTCATTTACTAATCCACTATTTTTTTTTAAATACAAGAAAATAGCTTTTACAGAAAAAAAAACAAACACAAAACCAACCCTAACATTTGATGCATAAATTCCTGTAAGTTAGCTTTCAGAAATATAACACACAATGAACAAACTATACAAAACCAAGAATAAGGACACAGCTCAAAGTTTTGACTTTAACATGCTGAGAAACTTTTAGCTACCTGATTTAGGCAAGGAGTGAAATTTATGTACACAGTGTTGATCAGTTAAACTCCTCTCCTCACAGAGTTGATGGCCATTGCTCCAAAATTTGTAGCAGTCTTCATGTAACTGCATGGCATATTTGTGAAAGGCTGGACCCCTTGCATGCTGACTATATACTCTAAGAGCCTGTGCAAGTTGATTCTTATGGACAGTCATCGTGTAATTGTGAGGCAAATTTGACTGATAAGCACTATGAGCCATGGGTAAAGCTTTTTGGCACCGGTTTTCAGAGAATTTTGTGTCGATATCCAAAAACCCTTCCAAGACTTTAATACTGCTCAAAATCTTAGATGTTAGTTCTCCTGTGGGAGATGATGGGTCCTCCTCTTTCCCATCAATAACAACTTCATACAGTTTGGAAGCTGCCGAGATCCACTTTTGGTAAGTGGGGAGTTCAAAATGGGAGGGCTGTGGGTTCCTGCCCACACTATCATCAAAACCTTTCTTGCTCAGGACTAACTCCACATGTTGCCACAGGAATTCCCGAAGGGTGAAGTCTACAAGCTGGCCTGAAGAACTCGAGCTGCTGCTGTCAATGTGGAAGGAAAGCTGCTGGCGGCTGTGCTGTCTCATGACCTGGTATCGCCTGGGCCCAGGAAGAGGTGCAGGCACCAGTAAAGATTCTGGATCCTTCACAGTACAATGACTCCGAAGTTGGTCCAGCAACATGCCCACTGGATCCTCCTCCTGGCTTCCAGGAACTATGTACACAAAAGCTTGGTTGGCAGGCACAGTAAAGAGGCAGTTGATGCTCTGATTGGTCAAGACACGACTCTTCCGGAAGATTCTATAAATCTGGTCCTCCAAAGCATGCTGCAGTCTCCTTTTAGGAGAATGTTTCTTGGGCTTCTCTGGGTGAGCTGGGTCTTGGCTTCGAGGCGGTTCCACCTTGAGGGCCCCGTTAAGTTGAAAGAGGAAAAGGAGTCTAGGTGGGCAGGGTCGGCAGTTTAGCTTCCAGTCTTTGCCAACTGGACAATCTTTAATGGCCGTTTTGAGCAGGGGCAGTACTTTCTGTCTCAGCCCATCCAGGGCTCGGAATACCCGATCGTAGGTAATGTCAAAAGAGCAAGTCGGGTGGACCAGAAGCAGGATGTGACACACAGAGAAAAGGTAAAGGAGATTGAGGCACTGCAGCTTCTCTTGATGCTTCCAGAACTCATGTGCTTCTGCATGAGGTAAAGCGAGGCCACCTCCAGCTTCTCCACTCTGAAGCGCCCGACAAGCCCGGAGAAGCTGTGAATTGTCACAAATGGAGGTAAGAAGAAGATACAGAACTTTGCTTTCTTGGTTGTAATAGGCCTGTAGAAGGTTGTAGTCCTGCGAACCTGGCACGGTTCGGTTTCCTTCCGTGGCAGTTACACCTCCTCGAACTTGATCCCCGGTCCCGGGGCCTCCGGCTCCTCTTACCTCCCCGACGGTGCCAACCTCAGCCTTGATCCCCGGTTCTAGGTCCCCTGGATCTTGGTTGCGAAAGAGAGGAAAGACTTGCCGGTCACACACCGTATTCACCAGCGAGAACTTCTCGGAATTCAGGCGCAGACCGGTTTTGCCGAAGATTCCTACCACGCAGATCTCATCTTCGCGCCACGGAGGCTCCGGCCCGCCAGCCGTGCTCCCTCCTCCCTCTAGAGGGGCTCCTACGGGGCTTTCAGAGCCAATCCAGGCAGAGGCTCCCATCAGAAGCTCTCGCAAACTGACCGGCCCCGCCATGGTTCTGCATCTACTCCGGTCCTTCCGGTCCGCTTTACAAACCTAACCGGCTTTAGTCCACTTTTGAAATCCCTCCTCCTTTCCTCTAGTTCCTGATTTCCTTTCACCTTTGGTTCCGCCTCCCGCTCCTCCTTTTCTGGTTTTATGCCAGTTTTCTACGGTTGCATTTAAAAGCTGCTTTAAAGTAACCTTCAGTTTGAGATTATAGAAGTTTAGGGTAGAGGGAGTGGAAATTGGTAGCAGTTAGTTTGCATTTTAAAGGGTTAAAAATACTGCAAGAAGAGTGGTGACATCTAACAGAAAAGTAAAAAGCAAATCCTTTGCCTTCCAGCCAAATCCAACCCTATAGCTAGCATAGAACTGCCCCAAGCATTTTCAAGGCTGTAAATCTCGAGAAGCAGCTGGTGGATTCTTTTGGTTAATAACTAAGTGCTTTAACCATTGTGTACTCAAGACTCCTAACAGAAGAAAAGTGGTTTAACTACAACCTTACTATATATATAAGTGTAGTCTGAGATTCAGAAGTACAAGATACTTGGGTTTTTTTCCTGGTTTTTAATTATATTTTAAAAATTAATTTTAATGAAAGTTTATAGAGACTTTGGATTTCCATTCATTCATTGTTGCACTTTTCTCCCTGCCCAACACCCTCAAAGAACTTGTTTTTTAAAAAATTTTATTTTAATAATTTTAATGAACATTTACACAGATTCTGGACTTCCATTCATCCATTG